GGGAATTTTCTGTGCTCATTTGAAACTTGGCTCTGACTGTGGTTTCTCTGTCACAGATTTTGGGATGGGCGAGTGCTCCCGCAGGGAAAGCCGTTTGCGCTGACATGGAAACCGAATGGAACCTTGGCTAGGCTAGGAGTCCTTGCTATTTTAGTCACTTCCAGATGTCTACCGTGGGAGTCTTAAGGGGAAGATGTGTGGCGTGCGGTGGGCCCACTGGGTGGAAAGGGAGGGGGTTTCCTCTTTTAAGCCTTTCACCGTGTCTAAAGCCGCCCCTGAATATGCCACTGAGATGGATTGGATAAAGCTTTAAAACACTGAGCGCTTCAGCAGTACCTCCTCTTTCATTTACATGCTTCACTACTTATGTAATTTTAGTCCAACTGAAGAAACCTTTGTGAAATAATCAGGATTCCAAAGAAAGGGCCCTTATCCCTTTTGATTGTGCTCTAATATTGGTGAAGTTTCGGCCATTCAACGTACACTGCGTGGTACATACACCGGATGAGTTAGCTGCCCCCGTAGCTGTTGGGCTAACCTAACAAGCTCACCAGGTGCTTATTATAGATCTACTTTCTCTGTTATTTTGGAGGTGTCTTTTAATCCCAGTGCTGTCATTATGAATTAGGAAAAGGTGTTAGGTTGTAATGTTTGTGTATGTGGAGATGAGGCCTTTTGAAATTTTTTCAATAGTGGTGTCCAGGTCCTTTCCAAGAGGTCTAGACACCACTCTGGACACATCCAGGGGCCTGGGGGTCTCTTGTTTCTTTGTTTTCCTGGGTAGACGTGGCATTAGCATGATACACGACTTGGCAGGTAAAGAAAGCACAAGTAAAGCAGTATAGCACAGTGGTGAAGTATACAGATTTGCCCCTCACAGCAGCCACTTCAAGAGCGTTCTTGTGAAGACTCTGTGAGATGAAGTAAGGTGTTCAGCTAAATGCGCAACAAGATTTATTGATTGCTTTTATTTCTGAAACCATTATCACCAAGTATAAGGATGGTGGCAAGGAAATGAAGTAAGGATCAGTTGCAGGGAAAAATAGAGGAGTTTGGGGAAATGATGTGCATTGTACTTACGGGGAAAAAAGAAACAGTTCAGGCTATCTTTAAACCAAGGCAAGAGGCCAAGTGCCTATACTTACCAGGTTCTGTTATTGTTGCCCTGGGATGGAAAGGCCAGTCTGACGGTTTGAGATGGGGTAGAAGGAGACTGAATTTAAAATAGCTGAGAGGAAGCAGAGCCCTTAACTAGATGAGTATGAAACAAGAAGATGTCCTCAAACTGGGTGTGGGGATGTCCTCCCAATGGTTATTATCCTGGGATGATGCTGGGTCTTGAGCAATTGGCCATTCCATGTCTATTTGGTTTCTTATCTTGAATACGAGATTAGTCTACTTGCTTCCCCTATTTAAAGTTTCCATTAGTTGTTGAGCCCCCTATTTTCTTATGGTTGGATTTGTTTTCTCTTGAGCTGAAAAAATGCGGCTATGGACACAGGGGTGGTGCAGGGAAACACTTTGGTTTCTGCCTACACACCCTGTCATCCTATCCTGACCCTGTTTCCTCCCATGAGCTCTTCTGAGATTTTCCAGAGATTTCTTTTTTCCTGCTTATTTTTACAGAGTATTAAAACATAAATTTGCCACAAAATTTGAAAGCACTAGTTTTTTCTAATCTTTTTTGGCCTCTGATTAGAGCTAGGCATGAGCTTTGTTTAAGGTAATTTTCTAAATCACGTCTCTTAATTATTCCTCTAGGAAGTAGCATCCAGGAGATTTTTTTCCCTCTTCCTCTTTTACCCTCCTCCCCCTATTCTTCTCCTACTCTCTTCAGGAGGGGGCTTCAAAGTCCCTGGCCTGGTATAAATGATGTTAAAGGCAGCCAGTTGGATATTCTAAAGTCCAAGAGTGACTCACTTGATCTCCAGAGGAAGCCTCACATTGGCACTTTATTATCTTCTCACTTCACAAAGCATAGTAGTTTTAAGTTATTACAGAGAGATGAAGTCAGAGAGATGCTGGGGAAGTAGATATATAGTAACACAGAAACAATGCTTCCAAGCTAAGACTGAAAAACCCAGTGAATGAGAGGAGAGAAAGATAAAGAGAATTACAAGGGAAGCAGCATCAAAATATGCCCGTGTTCTGTGTCTAGAGAGCAGTTACTCAGGTGGCTTTGTAAGATGATGATTCCAACCCTGGCAGATAATTTTTAGGAAAGAGCAAATAACTGCATGCATAAACATGCTTGTTATTAGAGATGAATTGAAGGTTGGGCAGATTGGTTCCAATGTCATCTCATCTGTTCCTTGTTTTTGCTAAGTGTGAGCTGAGACATGGCCTCTGTGGTTTACAGAGAACCAATCTAACTGTGGCTCAGGTGACTGCAAGTGGAAACTTGCCATGACACTTTGAGGAAGCACGTTTCAGATCCTCCCCCCAATATTAAGCAAGCTCTTAAAATTATAAATCTGACAACACCATGAAGTGTGTTTTGATGTTTCAATCAATGGGCATTTCACGGTAATGGCTCCACAGCTGAGCAAGCCTATATTTGGTTAAAAATTTGGTCTATTTACAAATCCTTGAATTTTAAGTGAACCAAGAGGCTTTCAATCGATGTGGCAGCTGAAAAACTGTCGCTTCTTAAAGCAAAACGATAAGCTTGTGTCAGAGCCATCTCCCAAGTTTGAAAATTAATGTTATTTTGTTATTCCTTTTAAAAGTCGATCTTTTTTCTTTGAGTTGCTCTTCACAGCATCTAAGTGGCTTTGTTGTTGGATTTTAGGGCTTGGCTCAATATTCTGTCCTCTTTTATGGCTATTACAACAATAAACGAACAATTGGATGGATGAATTTCAGACTGCCACTCTCCTATTTCCTGGTGGGGATCATGTGCATTGGATACAGCTTTCTGGTTGTCCTTAGAGCGTAAGTTTCATTGGTCTCTTGGGGAGCTAGCAGTGATTTCTAGAATCAAATGGGAAAATTAATTTGAGAAATGGATATAATATCTTCCTGTTTCATGTCTAGAGAATGCAGAGTATATAAGAGATAAAATGTGGTTTTAATACTGACACTAATGTCAGACTATGTCTCCCAAACGAAAGGGTTGAACACAAGTGCAGGCCTTTGATCATCTCACTGGGTCGCACTGATGGTTGTGGGCCTATCCTGTGTTGAAGCATGTTTTAAAGTTGTGCCTTTTTATACTTCAAGGTGTGAATCAACATTGCAAACAAGACAGGGAAAGAACTGCTGGTCCCTCTTTTTGTGTGCAGAGAGGTTTGTGATTTGCAGAATCAGCTCAATAGGCAGAACCTGTTGTTCCCTGTTCATAAAAAAACAAAACAAAAGAAAACCAGAATAACCACTCAGCCATGTTATGCCAACCAAACCAGCTTGATTTAGGTCCCTGCCTCTGGCAGGGGACCTTCAGTTGCTTATTACCTGATTGACAAGTGGTTTAAGCTCATTGGCCTGTATGGCAAGACAATTCCAAAGCTTGTCCCCAGGGCTAGGAGAGCCTAGCTGACTCCTAGCCCTGGGGACAAAGCTTAGCAGAAAACCAATTGATGAGATGTAAATGATTGTACAGAATCCTTTATCATCTCTTCCCCCCACCCCTCCTTTCCACCCCCAGACAAATTCATTTTTGGAATAAACATGAGAGGATTTATCGGATACATGACTCAGATCAAGGGAAACTGAGTTCTGACGTCAGCTAGGCAACTGATGGGCTATTCCACCTTGCGCATGTTGTTTGCCTCAGCATCCTCATCCACAAAGGAGGCAAATGTCTATTTTTGATTACTTAATAGGGAAATTAGGAGGAAAATTAGATAAAAACCCAAGAAAGTACTTTGAGTTTTAAGATAGGATGACTAACTTTATTGACCCAGTACTCTCCCAGTTTTAGCATTGAAGGGCCTGTGTCCTGGAAACCCACTCAGTTCCTGATAGACCAACATGGTTGGTCACCCTAGTTTTAGACCCTTTCTTCTTTCACTCTTTCCTTCCTTGCAAATGATATGTTGAGATTGCTTCTCAACAATATAGTAGTTCAAAGGTGTAGCCCCTCTGAAAAAGGAAGAATTCTCGTTAAGTATGTACACTTCTTACCTCTAGAGACAAGAGATGGAGCTGTACGTGGAACATTTTATAGCCATCTAGGCCATCTCTCAGCAAAAATGTGTTGTGACTGTAGTTTGTCTTCAATATCCTTCCTTTCTCCTTTTAGTAATCCACTCCCTTTCTTGTCAATTCCCACATGCTTGGTGTTCCCAGTTGGTTTGTCCGGCTAGAGCTCCTTTCTCTAGAAAGCTGTCTACAGCTACAGAATTTTGCCAGTGACAAAGCTCCACTCAAAATTTATCTTCCCAAGTGGTTAGCTTTACTTGAGGCCCTGCCCTTTGCTCAGTGACAGTGCAAAAAATAGGCGATGACATCTTAACCGAATAAATAATTTTCTCCTTAAGTTAAACCATCAGAAATGTTTTATTTCAACTCTTTTTGACCTACAAAAATGCATTTTATGTCATCGTGTCTTAGCTTTGGCACCAGAGTGAAGTCAGAAAACCTAAGCCCTTGACCCACCTCTGTGGTTTATTTCTGGTTAGTGTTCAGCAAATCACTTCATGATTTTACCCTTTAGCTTCCCCATCTGCAAAAAGAGAATAATATTAATGACCTTGAGCTCTTGTTAAGTTTTTGAGAAGGACAGATATGATAGTACACATAAATACTATTTGCAAAGGGTGAAGTGGTAGACTGATACAGGGAATAATTATTTTTGGTTATTTTTCAAACACATTAGCCCATTTAAAATATATAAACCTCTGTTAGGAGTGGAACTAACAGTGGGGGAATTTAGGTGACCTTAGAGATGCCTGCTAACCTACAATGTCAGCTTTACGTCATTGTGCCCCTTCCTTTTTCAGTTCCGTATCAGTATTATATTTAAAAAACCAAAACCTCATGAGACAATTTTATAATATATATCACATGAAATTTTAATTTTGCTACTTAAAGTGATAAGGGAAAAAAAAGGAAGTGAAGTAAGTGGAATATAGATCTCTAACCACTGAAATAAACCTGTAAGTAAATGCATTTTAAACTCTCCAAGCAAAAAAAATATATATATATGTATGTTAGAAAATCACTGATTAGAGTATATGTAGCCACTTGGCATTTAGTTTGCATAAAAATCTTGATTTTTGGCTGAGAGCTGTAGAGTATGGAAAATTTTCATACATTCTGTGTACGCACTCCACAGGGGAGATTCTAAGAGGAATTGAAATCTATGTAGGAGTTTCCTGACCTGACCTGATTAGGCCAACTTCAGGCTTCAGGAGGTCTGGAAACCACTAAAGTTGTATACAACAATTTAAGAGTCTATACATATTTTTTCCCTCTGGAGGGTCTCAATGGTTTTCATCAGATTTCTAGAGTTCCTTATCTCACAAAAGGTTGAGAACTCAGTATATGACCTTTAGAAAACAGCTTAGGAAAACAAATAAATAAAAAGTACATATTTTTGTATAACTTGCTTAATTGTTAAAATCATTAATAATCAGTAGTCTTTTCATCTTGAAGGCCTGAAAATTAACAGTTTAAAAAATTTAAACAAACCAAAAAAATTTTAAAGAAACTTTTATTTTCTGGTTATTAGAACAAACTTGTTTGAAAATGTATGTCTTTTAGATATTGCTTACCCAGTTTCCCTAACCTCTCCCTTTCTGCTTGTATTCTGGCTGCTGGATTAAACTTCCTGTTTTACAGGATGACCAAAAATATTGGTGATGATGGAGGTGGTGATGACAACACTTTCAACTTCAGCTGGAAGGTGTTCACCAGCTGGGACTACTTGATTGGCAATCCTGAAACAGCAGACAACAAATTCAACTCTATCACAATGAACTTTAGGGTAAAGACACCAACTTGAAGAGCCTTTTCTTGGTATTTCTAAGAGTAAAGTTGGAGCCATTTGAAAGGGTCTAGGTAGCAAAGTATCTTGACAGTTAAAGGCAAGATTAACTCATCATTTCTTCCCACCAGGATCTGGGGAGGGTTCTGATTCTGACTGGAAAATAATTGATTACCCATGATAGTACTGTTTCTCCCTAAATTTGGTACTAAAACAATGCCATTGGCTTGAAATAGCTGACCATTAGTAATCAGAATCAGATATTTTAAATAATAGAACAATGCTCACTAATTATTTACAGGAATACATTAGCCCAATATTTAAAATGACTCTAAAGTATTATTTTGTAGTTTTAAAAAAAAACTGCACTAGAATAGGATTTAGAATGAAGACTATCTTAGTATTAGATCAATCAGAGCTTGTTTGTAAGACTTCTCCCTTCTTTCTCTTACCTTTTCTCACTTGCTGGAAACATTCACTTGGTTTGTGGAATCCCAGATTTAGTTCACATTTTCAATGCTCACATTCTGATGTTTGCAAAAATAATTCCTGAGTTCATGATACCTTTTGTAGCTCAGATCTTTCTTTCTTTCTCTCTCTCTCTCTCTCTTTTTTTTTTTTCTGTTTTGCCTGGGTACAGGAAGCCATAATAGAAGAAAGAGCAGCCCAAGTAGAAGAAAACATCCACTTGATCAGATTCCTGAGGTTTCTTGCTAACTTCTTCGTGTTTCTAACACTTGGCGGGAGTGGATACCTCATCTTTTGGGCTGTGAAGCGATCCCAGGAATTTGCGCAGCAAGATCCTGACACCCTTGGGTGGTGGGAAAAAAATGAAGTTCGTCTCTGCGTGCTTTTTATGTGCTTAGAACCAGACATTTGAGATTTTGTGGGTTGTGCTTCAATGCTGGAACATGAAACTTGGCCACTCATTACCTGTGTCCGTCATCCTGCCCTGAGAGTGAACCAACCCTGGTGTACATTTCCTCGTTTCCAAATCTGTCTACTATCTGTCTGTTTTTCACTTTGTGACATTAGAGAAAGGTAGAGATGGAAGAGAGATTAGGACACATTTATTCCGAACAGTGTATTTTATAGACAGAGATAATGAATCTCAGAAGATCAGGTGATGCGTTCGTGGTCACAGAACAGTGAGTTAAAATCTGGGAATCTTGAGCTGAAGCCCAGCACTCTCTCTATGACCCTATGTTACTTTCTCTGTAGATCTTACATCTGTTTTGGAAAGATCCAACTGTTGTCTGAATTCTTTCAAGCAGTGATGATTAAGCTTTTAGTTTGTATGTTTATCTTACTGGAAATACTCAGATTGCCTCCCCTGCTTTGGGCAAGTCTAGGCTTCTCTCTGTTTTTCACTAGCAGCCTAACTGCACCTCTCCACATCTTCCTCCTTCTACCTCATTTCCTCCCCCGAAAAATGCTATTCAAATGAAGAAGGCCAGCTCTTTGCCAGGAATTAAATACTGTGATTGTGATTTGTCTTCAGGGTATCTGCCCATTTGGCAGGTCCAAGAGAGAAAGTCAGAGGTAAATATTTAGAATCAGGAAATCGTTGGTCATGTGTTGTTGCTGGGGTTCCCTTTCATAAAATGTTCCAGAATACGATGGGGCATCACTTTGAACTCGGACATTTTCAAAATGTATAGAGATTTAGACTTCCCACACTGAAACTTCTGTAGAGCCTTGGTAGGCCAAACAGATTAAGAAAGTCTTCGTAAGCATATAATTTCCCAGAAAAATCTTGGACAGAAAATGGTAGAACCTACTTACAGCAGAGGGCTCCAAACAAAAACATTCTAGGTATTTCAGAACCAGTAACACTGGAGATGGGAGACCATACATTTAAGAGAACATGATGACATAGACATTCCATGGAAACCTGTAAAGCAGAGAGTGATTAGGTAGTTATGTTGTTTATATAAAACAAAAGAGAACCTCAACACATTCCTAAGTTTGCTTTCAAAATTATCTCTTGCTTTTATGATAGTATTTATAGGCAAAATTATTATGCCACTTTGGCTCACAGTTCATATTGATCACATTTCTGTATAAATGAACTATAGTAAAGGATGGGTAATTATCACTAAAAGAGTGATTCTTTATAGGAACCTGTTTAACATCCGTCTTAGGGGACCCCTGATTCCTAGGGACAGAGAAAGGTAATAAGGGGGATTCATGAATAACTTTACAAATTTGATGAAACAGAATTTAAATTTACCTTATATAAAATCACACAGGCTCTGCCAAGACTTTACTTTAGGCTGAAATTATATCATGCTGATTTTATACTATGTCATGCTGACTTTTAGTTCCTGCTAGTCATATTTATATAATGTTCTTAATCAAAATGGAAAAAAAAATATTGATGATTATTTTCTAAATATAGCCTGGTAGTTCTAATCATTCAAAACATGGAGTCTATGAGGGGAAATAGGAATTGTTTAGTGGTGACAATTTGAGCCAGGTATTCAGGCAAAGACATTGCCAGAACCTTTTTTAAAAATTTATTTAAAGGTTTTTTCCCCCTCATTATAAAAGTAGTACATGCTCTGTATTCTTTCCTTTGACTTAATTTAGCCTAATAATGTGTGCCAGTCGGTCTAGAGATAAGGACCACAAATTTCCTGCTTGTCATATTTCCATTTTTTCTCTCTCTCTTTCGTAATTCTCTTACCTTTGGCATTATAAACCAGGTCTTCATTTTTGAAACTTTTCTACCTTGGCTTTGATAACATTATGCCAATATTTTCCTTTTGTTTCTCTGAACATTCTCTCTGATTTCTTTGATAAAACCCATTCCGTTTTCTTTCTTTTTTTTTTTTTTTTCTTTTTTGCCCCTGACACCTTGCATTCCCCCAAGCTCCGTGTTTAATCCTGAGCCCATCTCAAGGAATTGATCCATTCTAACTGATAAAACTAGCCCACAGGCTGGTTGTCAAATTATTATTTCCAGTTTGGACCTCATTCCTTAAGCAGATCATTTTCCATTTCCTTGGGAAATCTTGTTGTGAACTGCATCACTGTATCAGAATCAAAACCATATCATGTTTCACCCTGTAAAACTATGTATTCTCTGCATAGAGAGTAATGTAAATTGCATCCCTCATTATACCAGGAAACAGACTATTATTACTGGCACATCCACAAGCTCATGCAAATGTACATCTTGAGAATGTGAGTTGAATATTGTCTTTGCTGTTTTGTTAAGATCAAGTTTTTTAAATGCATGAAATAATCTTTAGTCTTATAAAATATCAAAGGAATCTAGCTGGAATCTTGCAAATTCTGAAGGAAAGAAACAATAATTTTTAAACACATTTAACTTAGTTCATCCCTTATGTCTTTTTGTAGATGAACATGGTCATGTCCCTCCTGGGGATGTTCTGTCCAACGTTGTTTGACTTATTTGCTGAATTGGAGGACTACCATCCCCTCATTGCTCTGAAATGGCTGTTGGGACGCATTTTTGCTCTTCTTTTAGGCAACTTGTATGTATTTATTCTTGCCTTGATGGATGAGATTAACAACAAGGTAAGTCTTGTGTCTGGGTTGTCCTTGCCATCATTCCCAGTCTCAAGATTGCCAGAAATGCCTTTGAAATCTGTTGTCTTCATTTTTGTTTCCATCCCTCTGCTTTCTAGATTGAAGAGGAGAAGCTAGTAAAGGCCAACATTACCCTTTGGGAAGCCAACATGATCAAGGCTTACAATGCATCACTCAGTGGAAACAGCACTGGGCCACCCTTTTTTGTGCACCCTGCAGATGTACCTCGGGGACCCTGCTGGGAAACAATGGTGGGACAGGTAATGTCACAAACAGAAGTGCATTAACAATGAATGGATTGAAAAACAGCAGAGTCAGTATTTCTTCCATATGTGTGGCCTGTTTTTTATTGCTTATTAATGAAAATGGCTAAGATTTATTGACTCTTTACCATGTGCTGGCTGTGAATTTCATGCATCTCATGCCAGCCTCACGTGCATCCATTCAGATAAGTGCTACATTTATACCCCTTTTACAGTTGCATATGAAGGAGGAATATTTTTAAATGGTCTGAGGAGATATTTACTGTGTACATGTGTTATAATAAAGCACCCAGATTTAGATACAGACCCAAGCAAATATTTAAATAGAACTCTAGTTAGTGTTACCTATTTTTCGTTTTTAAAAAAAGGGAGTATACACTAATATTCGTTTCAGTTATGTTAAATCTTTATCAAATATTGCCTCTTAAGCGTTAAAGGAAATACTGTTTTAGGTTTGTTGTTTTCCTGATGGTTATGTAAATGACCCTAGTCTAAGACTAGTGATATTTTAGCAGATAAAAGAAACATTTCATATGGCGTTCTGTCCAAGAAGGGAAACCAAACCAAACAAAAACACCTACTTCAGGTCTCTTATTTCTATACAAATCCAATTTTGCATTCTGAAAGCGTTTAATTTTATTTCATTAGAATTGAAATTCCTCATAAACTGATTTTTGACTTTGGTTCATCATTGATGAACAGAAATTTTGGTGCTTCTGTCTGTTAGACAATAGTTTAGTTTCAGCAGTACTGTAGTCTTTGTGAGATTATTTGAATAATTTTTTACTGTGTACTTTGTTTTGTAAGATAAAAGGAAAGTTGAAAGTTAGCATTAGTCCTATAAAACTAATATAATTTAAACAAATATACATATCATTAGATATCCTCAGCTTCAGACACTCATCTGACTTAAGCCAATCACCTGTGATTTCAATTGTGGAAAAAAAATAAGAAAAACACGTATAATGCTAGACATACACCACTGAAGACTGAGTCCAAAAAGTATGATGTAATTAAGGTTTTTATTTTACTTTATTTTTTTAAGCTTTTCAGGAATCACATAGACCCCTCTCTTCTCACTTACATGTTATTAAATACTGTTTCCAGATATGCACATTTCATACATACATTTCTGTTTACAAAGCATACTATTTATGAGACAATAAATGAAATGAAATGAAAGCTGCCTGCACTTGGTAAAGAGATGCTTATGGTACACGGTGTGGGAGACAGAATAATGGCCCCTCAAAAACGTCCATGGCCTAATCCCTGGAAACTGTCACTATGTTACACAGGAAGATGGACTTTACCAATGTGATTCAGTTAAAGATCTTGGGATAGGAAAATTATCCCGGATTGTGCTGGTGGGCCTAACAAAATCCCAAGCATGCTTATAAGTGGGAAACGAGTGAAAGTCAGAAAAAATGGATGTGACAGTGGAACCAGAGGTTGGAGTGATGCACTTTAAAGATGCAGGGAGGGGGCCATGAGCCAAGGAATGAGGTGGCCTCTGGATGCAGAAGAAGGCAAGGAAGCAGACATCTTGCACCTGGTGCTTGCACCTTGATTTTCGGCTTCTAACCTCCAGAACTGTAAGAAAAGATATTTGTGTTGTGTTAAGGCACTAATTTTGTGGTAATTTCTAATAGCAGCAATAGGAAATGAGTACACAGGAGTATAGGGGTTTCCATGTTTCAAAGCTCCTTGAAGCAAAGTCTTGTCATGCTGCTTAACATGAGTCTGTTTTATCTCATCTAGGCTTCTCCCTAAATCTTGAGCAAAAGTTGAGAGAAATGAAAAAAATATGAAGTATAGTTTTCACAAACTCAAAGAGTGTGAGACATTCTCTTATGTACATCCCAGAAAGCAGACTGGCATGAGGGATAAAAAAAAAACAAAACCTATGCTTCACCAGGCAAACACCTGTTAAACAGGATTAGTAGAACTAACTGTCAAGAGTAAGACGGGGCTGCTCACTTCTGAGGAGGAGGCAGCAATTAATTAGATGTGACTGTCAGTGCACTCTAGGAGAATACTTATGTTTCTGATTATGCAGAAGCTTCAGGGATATTCCCACACATACTGAATTAAAATAAAGAAAAAGTTATTCATTTAATTTTTCTTAGGAGCCCCTGGACCATGCTGCTTGTCTTGTCAAAAAAAAAAAAATCCTGACCCCAGTGATTTTCCTTGCTTCATCGTCTTCTCTTACTGCCATTTGCAGTAGGGTTTCCCTTTTCTCTTTCACCTTCCTGCTTCTAAAGGAGCATCCAGCACTTGTGGGAAAGTCTGTAGGAGTCGCAGGAGGAAAGGGGCTGTGGTTCTGAATGGAGTTTTGATAGGGGAGGTGGTATCCATGGAGGCAGAGAAAACACAGGGGACGCAAAAACCCTGAGTGCTGGGAAGATGTGGCCTTTAAGAGGTCAATATCTCTGTCCATGCCACTGGAAACAATTATTCTAACCACTTTAAAAAAAAAAAAGATTGCAGAAGAAATAGTAAAGGCAGCTGCTTTGCATGGAATGTTGGGGCTGCACCCCAATGACTTGCTCATTGTTCTGTGAGAACATTCCAGATGTTTCCTCTTCTCCCCATTGCATGCCCTCTGCCTTGTTTTTCCTCAAGGATGCTATAGGACTCAAGACTCTGTGAATTTGAATATAACAGTTTGGCTGCTCCTTTGTCTCTCCAGGGAATCTGAAGCTATAGTCACTTCGTCTCATCTCCAGTGGCATTTGATAGGCAGGCAGCAGAGCCATTCTTGGGAGACCGCTATTTGAAGCTATATAGTGAGGTCTGCATTTTGGAGATGGAGAGAAAGCGGCCAAGAGCTGAAAATAATGAAAACCATGGCTTTTGCATATCCTATGCCTCTAGTGTGCCAAGCATTACGCCTTTGAATTTTTAAATTACCCTCTGAGAGAAGTTAAATCATTATCCCCATTTTATAGATGAGGAGCTATGACTTAGATGAGTAAAATAATTGGCTCAAGACCTTAAAGGAAGTCAATGACAGGAACCCAAATTTAACCTTCTCCATAGATTTGTACTGTCCCCTAGAAACATAATAGCATCAACACTTAGACTCCTGCCATGGACTGTCTACAGTCTGTGACCCTTTGTGATGCCTCTTCTCTGTTATCTTCCCTTTCCTTGCTAATGATCCTCTTAGGTTTGCTGATCAAAGCTGCCCAGGCATGTTTAACAGAGTCATGAGTGTAAAGTGTGAAGTGATGGGTGTGGTGCTCACAGATGGCCTGTGTGGAGGCCGTGCGTCCATCCTGACTAGCGCGCTGGGAACTGGGGTTGGATGATGTCCCCAAGGTGGGCTGGGCCACCATTTTTGGAATTTCCTTCCTTATAACTCAGTGAATTCATCCTAGGGTGTGTTAATAAATATTTCCACATTTTAATATAATGTTTGAATCCTCTTCTGCTATTTTATGTGAAAGTTAGAGTACTGCTTAGGGAAAAAAGTAGTATTTTGACCACTGGGATGAGGACGAGGATGCTTAGGAGGATGTGGAGGACTTCAAAACCACTCTGAAATGTTCTCTTACCTGAGGAAATCTTCCTGGCATGGTGGTGGAAACCTGAAAATATCCCTCACAGCCTACCTCTGATTGATGCTAGTTATTAAAATCTAAGCTCAAATTGCCTGGGGAATGAAAAGGAGAATAAGAGGAGAGAAGAGGAAAGTTATGTCCAAAAATAACTGCAGGAATTTACGGCCACTCAGTCGTTCATTCCCTATTTACTGAGTGCATGCTAAGTGTCAGGCATTGTGCTAGGTACTGGAGGTACAATGGGAACAAAGGTGGACCTGCTCTCTGCCTTTGTGAAAATTACAACCTCTTGGGGGGAACAAAGTCACTTTAATTAAATAATCTTACCAAGTTTGCAAATTTACAATGTCAACAAAAGACTACAAGAATGCAGTGCGTGCGCTAGTCATCAAGGTGAGAGAACTCCCTATGAGTGATGCTACAGAGATGCATATTAGTTGGTATAAACTGAGTTAGGAGGTGAAGTAAGAGTGATTGAGTAGCATGAAGGCCACAGGGTCTATGGAGTTTGAGGGTGTGAAAGAAAGCCAGTGGGGCTGGAGTGGAGAAGACAAAGGGAAAAGCAACACAAGAAGACTGTGGAGAGCTGGACAGGCACTCAGAATATGCAGAAACATCACACTCATCTTTTTACTCCAGCTATTGCTGCAGGAAGCAACTGTATGCAGCTGTCTCCTGACAGCATCTCAACTAAGCAGTATGTAAATTCTCACCTTTACCTTAACGCTTCTCTGCTCTCACCATGTGGAGCGTTAATACTACATAGGGCCATCCCTGACTGATGGGAATGGGGCTGGTGGAGCAATACTTCCCTCTTCTGTCTCTTGAGTGGACAATTCTGAGACTTATTCTGTATAGCTACTCAGCGGGTCCCCCGAAGAATCAAGACCCAGTGGCCCCAATAGTGACAGATTTTAACACACTCTTGGGTAAAGGCTTTCTCTGCTTTCCTGTTTCATTCTTCCCAGTCTCCTCTTCCTCAAATATACCACTGGCTTACAAGCCCTTGTCACAGGCACTACTTTTGGTGGAAACTAATGCTAAGATAACTGTTTACATTTTAAGGTTTTCAGTATAATTTTTTTGCTTTTATTATATGTATATTATAGTTAACTACTATTTATGGCAGATGATATACACCTTCTATTTATAATAGTAGCGGTTATTTTTTAAGAATTAAGTATATTAAAGTTAAAAGAAATATTAGGTAAATAATATTTCAGATGGTACTTGGACATGGCAAGAATCGTGAAGGTGGTACACAACTACCTGGAGTTTAGGAAGCACTGCTTGGAAGCATGAGACTGGAAATTCAACTAATATATGCTAGTCAAGTGGGCCCTTGCCCTATAAGGTAATTCTCTCTCGCCAGTTATTTTAGAAGGGAGATTATATAGAGGTAGCTAGAAATAAAAACCGGAAGACTTCTTTTATTAGAGAAGAATACTATTATTTCTGGCAAAGTAGGTCTTATTAGATTTTTGGTGTTTTCAATCTTAGGGCTTGAATTACTGGGAAGGAACAAAAAGGAAAGGGCAGAAGAGAATTATCATGATGAAAATTTATAATTGTATGTCTGCTCTTATATTTATTGCCTATTGTTATGAATTCCATGAGGAAATAGTGAACTTCCCCCTAACCCACAGCACACACATTTTGCACTAACTTCAAGTCCATACCACTGAGGTAGCAAGTTTCTAATTTTCCAGACCTTTTCTATGCAGATGCATATACATATATACATATATGCATGTATGTATATATACATAGGATTTTTGTTAACAAGTGAATTCATGCCACATATCCTGTTTTGTACATTTTTAACAACCCATTTCTTATCAGAGCATAGCATGTTAGCACTTTTTAAACAACTTTATTGAGATATAATTCACATATACATTTTATCCATTGAAAGTACCCAATTCAGTGGCTTTCAGTGTATGTTCACATGGTTGTGTGTCCATAACCACAATGGCACTTTTTATTTAAGAGCTCATCATATTCTGTTGTGTGGACACCCTTTTCTATTTAATTAATTTCCTCTTGAGTATATCTGAATTGTTTTCAATTTTGGTTTGGGAGAAACAATGCTCTCACAATTACACATGTAGATTCGGGCACTTGTGTTAATTTTGCCATAGGGTATATTCTAGAAGTGGATTTTCCTTTTTGTTGTTGTTGTTTTAATTGAAGTACGGTCAGTTACAGTGTGTCAGTTTCTAGCTAGAAGTGTATTTTCTAGATCAAATGCCACCACTTTAAAATGTGATGGATCTTCACAAACTCCCACCAAATGTTATCCCAGCCTAACTTCCCCATACATTTCTAACAATACATATTTCATTGCACTCTCACCAATATGGAGAAGCATGGGTTTTAAAATCGTTATCACTCGGTGAGGCAACAACTCATTGTCTTAACTGTATTTGTATTATGTGGGGTTTAGATATTTTTGAATGTTTTAATTGGCTGTATACTTTTTTCTTATTTCTTATTTGTGCCATTTGCCAATTTTTTCCTTATTGAATCTCCTATCTATTATCATACTGATTTGTTAAAGTCTTTAATGTGTTAGAAAAACTAGTCCTCTATCATATATGCCACAAGTACTTTTTCCAAGTTTGTCTTTTAATTTTATAAATAGTATTGTTTGTCAGATTAAAGTTTTAAACTTCTGTATTGTCAGTATTTTCCTGTTTTGTGTTCTTATGTCATGCTTATAAAAGTTTCTCAGTAAGAAGACTTTTAATACAGTGGTTTTGGCACAGGGAATAATTATTTTTAGACTGATAAAATAGGCATAGAACATTTTTCATTTGCTAGGAAACTCGTTTCTTTACCATTATTTGCATTTTTCAAGCTAATACTATTTAGAAAGTTTGAGAAATTTGATGTCAACATTAGGACCATTTGAAGGGAGAAATGCACATTTTAATACAGATATATCTCAACAGGAATTTGTGCGGCTGACTGTTTCTGATGTTCTGACCACCTATGTCACTATTCTCATCGGGGACTTTCTCCGGGCATGTTTTGTGAGGTTTTGCAATTACTGCTGGTGCTGGGATTTGGAATACGGATATGTAAGTATGATATTCATTTTTCTCATATCAGTATTACTTTATGGTATTCCTTCCTTATGCAAGAAGAAGAATTTGGGAGGTGAGATGGCCTCTTAGATGCCAATAAATCAAGGCCAATGAGTATAGTTTTAATTCAAAGGGGATCAGGCTTGCCATATTCTAACAAAATTAGATTCTAGTGAAATTATAGATGACTAAAGCCATGGACCTCAACCTGTCTGCTAAAATGGTGAACTCAGTAAGTCTTGGACCTATAGGCAGCTCTCTCCCCATAAAGCTTGTTGGCATTCTAGAACTGGGACAAGATGGGTAGTAGCACATTTTCTATTCAGTCCTTTGAATTCTACTAAGCAAATTTCTGGACATTATGTGCCAGTCACTGTGCGGTACATTGGGGGAACAAAAGGAGTCAATAAATATGGTGCTTGCTTCACAAAGCTCACAGTCTAGTTAGAGCTCAACAGAGACACAGCAAGGGGCTGGGGAAGTTTTGAGGGAGGTCCCGGGGTGCCAAGAGGGCTCTGGCAAGTGCTGGAGCTGAATCCGGGCCAGTAGATTTCCTTTCCCCTGACAACAGCACAGGTTTCTCTGAGCCCCACTGGTGTTAATTCCATCAACAACCCCTCAAACCCCCGGTATGCTCAACCGCAGGTCCCCCCACGGGGTCTGAGAGCGGCAGCAGAGCACACATCGCTCTGTCCCCCTTTTGCAAATGAAACTGTCATCTTCCGAAATAGCACCTGAGGTACTTACTAGCTCAAACATTTCCAGTGGCTTCCAGGTACTTAGAATGAATTCCAGATCCCTTTCCTGGGCCTTTGATAATCCTGTACGATCTATTGTTTTCTTTCTGAGCGCATCTCCTACCCCCTTTGCTCTTGCTTTGCAAAGTCCACAAACATTGGGATTCTTTCTTCTGCTCAAACCCAAGCTGGTCCTTGCATCTGCACTAGGGTGTTCTTCCCTCTAAGGGTGCAGGTGCCTAGAATTTGCCAGGGCGGATTCCTTCTTGTCATCAGGCAGTCAGCCAATATGTCACCTCCTTAGAGCTTTTCTCTGACCTCCCACTCTAAGGTGGCCCATCAGGCACTGTCAATTTCAGCACACAGTTTTATTTTCTTCATACGACGTGTAACTATTTGACATGGCCTTTTTTTGAATGTGCTTATTATCTGTCTCCCTCGGCTGGAATGAAAGCTTTCTGGAAACAGAGGCCTTGACCTCACATTCAGAACTGGCTTGTCGCATGGCAGGCGTTATGCTGCCTGACTGACTCAGAGTTGAGCCTCCACGTCCTAGCACTGTCCAGGCAGCACCGTCTCCTGACAGAACTGCCTGCCTCCAGGGGTGGGCCCTGGAGGCACTTCGGCCTTAGTATTTGTTTGTCTGTTTGTCTTAACACTTTTGTTGTGGTACAATTCCTGTACAGTAAACTACACGTATTTCAGATGTACAATTTGATGAATTCTGATGTATGTATACACCTCTGAAACCACCGCCACAACCAAGATACCTAACATTGCCATCACTCCCCAAGAGGTGCAAATTTCGAACTCCCGGTTTATCCTTTCCCACCCCCTTTACCCCTGACAAACAACAGACTCACGGACATAGAGAACAAACTTGCACCTTAGTATTCTTAAGCTAATGATGGTTCTCTCCTCCCCAGCGAAGGGATGTCCTTCACTGCTGACCTCCCTCCTGTCTCGTTCCCTTCAGTCCCTGGACAAGTCCTACATCCAGAACTGTTTTCAAGACTCTAGGCTAGATCCGCGACCTAGCCATCTGACTTTGAGATTGTAACTTGTATTAGGTCATCTCCATCCCCCGCGCTGCAATTGCTTCTTGGAGGAGCCAGAAGCCGTTAGGTCACGCTGCTTGGTGGACGACGGTGAGGTAATGCTATAGATCCAGAATGCTCGTGCGTCGTCTTCCCGTTCCCTCCTCTGAGGTGTTCCGCTGGCTTGGTTTCATTTCTATTTTCCTTGCCTGATTCAGCTGTTCTGAAGCAGACATAAAAATTGCCATTTCTTTCTTAGACCATCACTTAGCTTATGCTTGCCTTTTATAAACATAAAACTGACTGCTTTCTTCTTAAGTGCTAGAAAATTTTGCTTCAGATATGAAGTCAATATAACATGACCTGGATGCATAAAAGCTGTAATTAAGTGACTGTAATTTATTATTTATTGAGTGCTGACAGTGCTCTTGGGTTAGTACAGAGTGCAGGGGAAAAAAAGACAAGTTCCTGTTTTAGGTCAGAGAGAGTGAATTTTCTTCCATATTACCCTTGGAAGACTCATCAGAGAGAAGCTCAGCAGCAAAACAAGTTTTAAAACATTGAGGTCGGATGATGGATCTCTGATCCAGACCCTGTTATCACTGACCTGCCAGGTGGACAGCTTCTGCAGCTGAGTGCCTGCTAGGTACAAGGCATTATGAGCAAGCCTCTGCCGGCTGATAAGCCGACACAGAAATGTAGAAGTTGTAAGCCTAAGGCAGGTTGCAAACGTGGGTCTGCAGACTAGCCGCAGCTGACAGATATTTTTCTTCTTTGGTTTACAGTGGGTTTTTTAAAAATGAGTTTTTCTTTAAAAACTGGGAGTTTTACGTTAAAAAAATGGATTTCTTGTTTTACTTGACATAAGATTTACTTGAGAGGCTTGACAACATTAGACCCATATTCGCACTCAAGAGAAAGTGGCCGGAGCTGAGGAATTACTGCCCACTTCGGGTGGAAGATTCATTCACCAGTTCCTCACACTCTTTGCTACCCGTTAATCCTGCCAGCTCCCGTTGTCAACACAGAGGTGGAAATGTAACTGGAGAAACCACTGCTTTTCAACTTTTGTTGGAGGGGCAGGGCAGGGATCAACAGAAATGCAAGGACAGGATGGAGTAAGAGACATCTGAGCCAAGTCTTGAAGGAGGATCAGAAGTTTGAAAGATTGAGATGGAGGAAAGCATTCTTAGTGGATGGACTGTGGAAGGCAGGGCCCAGCAGCTGGCAAGTACGGGCAGTGCAGGCAGAGATGCCGAAATCCCGAGTGGTACTGTTTTAGAGCGGGAGAGGCTGATGAGAACGTTTCTCTGATGTTCTGGGCTTCCTAATTGCCAGTATGAGTTCAGAGAGCACTTGTCATGAGGCAAAGGAGAACCTGAGACTGGCCGAAAAGATACTTTTAAGAATCCTTTCAGGAGCGACAGAGAAAAATGTGTCCACTTCTGCCACCAAAAAGAAAGTTTTTTTTCCCTGAACTTTAAAAATAATACCAATTTATTGAAAAAGATCTAGAAAGGCCAGCATAAGCTAAATATGAAAATAAAAATTATAGATAATTGTACCACTTACAGCATTATTTATTTATTTAGATTATTTGAATCATATAGTATTAGTGTTTGTTTATATGTAGATGAACAAGTACTATAGATTTATATATAGTACTATAGATTTTTTATAAATATATATCTGTGTGTATATTTGTGTATAAATATATATACACACTTATTGACTAGTTACTTGCATTTTTCACCCAACAGTGACCTTCCCTATGTTATTGACTGGGCTTCTATAACAGTTTTTAAATGGCTGTGTGATAGTCTCCATATGAATGTACTATAGTTAATTTAGTTAGGTTTTTTTTGTTTGTTTTCAGTTAACTGTATCTAGTTTATTGTTATTATAATGAACAGTGTGATCACATTTATTTATATCCATGTAGATAAATAACTTCACAGATAAATCATAGTGGTATGTACAAATTATTTCCTTATGATAAATTTCTCTAAGTTGAATTACTCAGTTGTAGAAAAGATACCTTTTAAAAAGTCCATTCACTTCTATTACAACAGCCAACCTCTGTAAAATTTAAACTCTACAATCTCCAGCATTATTTCCAGAGATCCATAGAATGTTAAGCTTAGGTGGAATTTTGACATAATCAGTCATGATGATTTTATTTTGCAAAGGAAAAATTGAGAGACTATGAATTGAAGTGAGTTGCCTAGGTTTGTGTAGCCAGGGAATAAGTAAGGGCAATGAAGTATCCTTCTGGAAAAGCCGTTATGTTAAATATACTGAATCTTATACTGGTTAAATCTGAGTAAATTGGGTGAAAAGTGACCCTATATATTTTTTCCAGTTATAAATTCATGGCCAGGTTATACTTCAATAAAAAAAAATAAAATAAATTCATGGCCAAAGTATTATCACAATAAACCTATGAAGATGAATTCAGGTGGGAAAATTACTAGCTAGGAGCAGGCAGTTAGACCATGTAATGTAAGTTAATCTTTCCTAGGGCTTCTCTGAGCATAGCAGATAGTTCTCAGTGTTTGTAAAGAGTTCACTGACTCATCGGAGTGGAATGATTTGCTCCCAGGAAGGATTTTAACCACCCTGATTTGATAAAACCGCCCTGAAGCCTCTTGTAAACTCTTTGGGTTTTCTGTAATATTTAGCAGAGAATGCCTTTACTTTCACTTTAATTTATGTTGACACCATCCTTACCATTTGTCAATGAAGTGGAGAAATGCTATCTAAGAAGAAATGGGTTGACTACATGGCATGGGGTAAGAGTATGTTCAATCAAATTAAAACCTCAGCATCTTATTTAAAGTTACATTTTTCAATGAATATATGTTCATGTATAACTGAAAAATTGTGCTCTACATTGGAATTTGACACAATATTGTAAAATGACTATAATTCAACAAAGTTACATTTTTAAGGTGGTCCTTATTAAATTTGCATAAATGAAAAATATGGGAGATTTCCTTGAGATCTAATGAAGGAAGCTCAGGATTACCCATAAATAAGAGACATATGATTCACAGACTGTCAGAGTATATTCCTAATCATATTATATGGTATTAGAGTTTTATGTAGTGCTTACTGTGTGTTAGAACATTTACAAAATACTTTGTGTATATAATTCTGTGTAACCATAACAGCAGTGCTATGAGGTAGGTAATATTTTCCTACTTTACAGTAAACTGAG